TATGTCCACGGATTCAAACATTTAATCAGCTGTCTGGTGAGTACCCACTATAGAACACTGGCAAAGTTTGAGGCCCCTGGGTGGCTCAGTCGGTTAAGCACCCAACTTCGGCTTAGGTCATGATCTCACGGTTCATGGACTCGAGCCCCGCCATCAGGCTCTGTGGTGACAGCTCGGAACCTGGAGCTGCTTCAGATTCCGTGTCTCCCTCTCTCTCTGTCCCTCCCCTGCTCACCCTCTGTCTCTGTCTCTCTCTCAAAGGTAAATAAATGCTAATTAAAAAGAAAATTGACAAAGTTTAAAAATTAATCAGGTAGGATTTTATACTTCAGGTGATTTTTTTATGAGCTAATTATACATAAGTAACAAGTTAGGGGTAAAAAAGTAAAAAGTGCAAAGATCCCTCAGAGGCGCAGACACAGCTGGGGGAGATGAGGGGCACTGCGGTTGGTCATATTTTGCTTCTTGTCCCGGCCGCTGCTTCCGTGGGCGCATTCACAGTGTAAGAATTCAGTGAACTGTAGACATAATGATTTGCACACTTTTATGTAAGTTATACTTCCATCAAAAGAAAAAAAGGAAAGTGAGGGTCTGTTTATAAACATTCTTGAGTGCTTAGCATGTGCCAGGCACTGTGAACAGGTCAGGTGAGGCTCCTGCTTATATTCTAGAATAAGATAAACATGTAAAACGCTGAGCACTCAGCCCAGCACAGAAAATCACCTAAAGGTCATTAGCCAGTACGATTCACTTTAGAGAGGGAGAAACCAAAGGTGCCTGCATAGAATGCACAGAAGTGAAAGAAACGTGGGAACTGAGGCTATGGACTGAAGCAAGAACTCATCAGTTAGGATCCTGCCAAAGACCTAAGTGAAAGGAATGAAAATGTATCCTAAAAGCAGCAAGCCTCCAGTGAAAGGTTCTAAGCAGGAAAGCACATGGTCAGAACAGCTCAACTCTCAGGGCGCCTGGGTGGCTCAGTCGGTTGAGTGTTGGACTCTTGATTTCGGCTCAGGTCATGATCTCACAGTTCATGAGTTGGAGCCCTGAGTTGGCCTCCGAGCTGACAGCGTGGAGCCTGCTTGGGATTCTCTCCGCTCCACCCCCCCCAGCCCCTCCCCTACTCACTCTCAAAATAAATAAAGAAACTTAAAAAAAAAAAAAGGTCAACTCCCTCTAAGTGCCCTCATTTGCCCCCAGTTTCCCCAAATGCCAGCTGTCAGCCTGAAGATATTTGCATGTGTCTGATGCCAGCCCAATCGCAGTAAGACTCCTCTCGGGCCCCCTTACGGGTACCAGGAAGTGTTCCCCCCAGGCCCCTTGCCCCTGAAATCAGCCCTGTGAGACTCTTGCATGCGTTTCACCACTGTTTGGTCTGAGAGCTAAGAAAATCTTGACTTCTGGGGGCCTCCGAGTCTGGCGTGGAGCGCACACGATCGGGTGGGTCTCAGTCCTGCAGTCTGGAAGGGACGTCAGAGGCCCGGCCCCCCCCCCCATTTTGTGTCTGAGGAAAGGAGACCAGATGGGTCCCCCTGATCACAAAGCGATGAGTAGGAAAATGGGGCTGGGTACCAGTCCTCAGGACCCCGTTCTCTGCCATCCATCCCCCTCCAGTTGAACTCGACAATCTCTGTTATTTAGAGAAGTTTGGTGGAACAATTTAGTTAGGAGGCGTGGGGAGCTTAAAGCTTCTTTTACACATGGCATGTTATTGAAACTGAGGAAACATCAGCTGTCTGCATCGAAGAATGAGCTGCTGTTGGAGAAAGGGTGATGGGGGACCCTAAAGCCCTCCCAACTGTTCTCTTTCCTGCCCTGAAGGCAGCCAGCACCTCTTGTCATTACTAAAGGTCCCAGGTCTTTCCTGAGCTGCAGCATCTATGAAACCTGCCTCGATTTAGATATTTAACGGCACACGGAAATGATGGTTATGGACGTGGCCAAGGGCTCTCTTTCCCTCCGTGAATGACACAGAGCGGCTGCTTTCTTTTTTAATGTGGGTCCCATGGCCCCCGCCAGCAGCATGTTCTGAGAGCCCCTGGGACGTGGGCCTGGGGTTGAGAGGAGAGAGGGAGTGAGGGCTGACTTCCTGCCAGAGGTGTGATGCTGTCCCGGGTCTGTTTCAGGGGAGATCCAGACGCAGGAACGAGATGAAAGTCACGCCGCCACCGAGGCACTGACAGCACCCGAGGACGCGGGAAGGCCCGCCATCAGCTCCCCGGCAAACCAGAGCCACGGGAACCAACGCGACCCCTCTCATCCTTCATTACCGCAGGTACCCTCTGAGGAAGAAGAAATGAACAGGCTTGGAAGGGAAATCGCGCAACTGACCGAGGCACAGGCAGAGGCCGAACCAGAAGGGGCCAGAAGAGCAGGGCCCGGGGAGGCTCCGAGGAACGAGATGGGGACAGCCACGCCGGGCCTGGCCTCCAGGGGGGAGGCCCCCAAATCTTGCCAGGGCCCCACTGAGGCCAGCCAGGCAGCGGCCGAAGCCTCCGCCGCGGAGGACAGCAAGGAGACCCTGGAGGGTGCAGGCAGGAGGAGCCCCGTGAAAACATGAAGGGGAAAGGGATCCCCACGATGTCGCGTCGGAGGCACGGGGGACGGTAAAGAATCAAGCATCAGAGCAGCTTTCGGAGGCGACTCTCTCCTAAAACACTTCCAAGTCTGCAAGTGAGAAGGGACACAGGTCCTGTTGCAAACTGAACATGCTGATGATGCCAGCACAGTGCGATTTATTAAATGCCGGTCCTCAAGCTTCCCGGTGTCCTCTCTTTGTGCCGAAGACGCGCTGCGGTGAACACGGCCGGGCGCAGCATCGTGTCCCCCACACGGCTGGGTTTTGGCATCCGTCTTTCTGTCGGCGTTTGTTTTATTAGAGATAAGATGTTTTTCTATTAGCATTTAGTGTTGTCGATCAAGATTATGGGAAGAGCTTGAAAGGGATGGGGTTTTTAATCAGGCCCCTGTCTTTGTAATGGTTAGGCGGCTGGAGAGAAAGGTGCAATTGAGCGTAATGGGTCCAGAGGGCCCACGGCTCCGCCTCATCATGTCAGGGCCCCGTAAGGCCTCCCAGCACGGGTGTTCTTGGCACCCTGCCCGCAGCCCTGTCTGTCACGGCCCCGACTGGCAGGTGGAAAGGGGCTTAAGCAGGCTCAGAAGGCTGGGCTTCCGGTTTGAAATCCACAGCCCCTGTTGAGCCCTGTTTGCTGACTGCTAGAGCTGAGTTTTCCAGCCTGTAATTCTGAAGGATTAATCGACCTGGACTGATGGAGCGGGGCTGGGGCGCCCCGGGGGCCCCCCGGGCCCCGGGGATAAGAAGGCAAGGAAAGGGACTCCAGGGGTGTTTTGATTTTTTGTTTCTGAGATGAGATAAGAGCCAGAACCTGGAAATGCTGGTTCTCTCCACTCAACCTGCGCTGCCTATAGGGTTTTATGGCCGTGTAGGGTTAGGGCAAGATAAGCAGTTCCCTGTGCCACCTGAAACCTTGAACCCTTCACCTCGCTTCCTCTGTGCTGCCACGTACTGAGATTTGAAAGACAAGACACAGAGCCAGTGGCCCTAGGGTGGAGAGAGAGAGAGGAAAACAAGATAACTTCATGACAGCCCGTTTAAGGGGGACTGTGGGGCCAAGCACCAAGGGTGGGAACAGGGGAGATACCATCCCTCCTGGTCCTTTCCTTAGGGATCAAATGAGCTCTTGCAGGTGGCATCTGGAGCCACAGGAAAGTAGAGGCTCGTCGAATGATAGACCTTTCTTTCCGCTGAACTCCGTTCATTTCCCCAGAAAGGCCCGATACCAGATCCCAAAGCTCCAAACACCCCCTGAGAACCAGAATCACTCCTTGGGGAGGCTCTCCTGCAGGAAAAAGAGAGGCTCCCCAGCTGGGAAAAGTTGAAAATTCCTCCGAAGTATCAGCTGTCAATAGCACGCTTGTGATTCCAGGCGGGGGAGGGGGGAGGGGGGGGGGGGAGGGCCGGCCCACCCAGATACCTCCCTGCCACGTCTCATCTGCGGCCTTACTCTGCTGTGCCGTGTGCTGCCTTACGCCGCAGGAGAGCGGAGTGTAGGCAAGAAGGTCCAGCGTGGGCGCCTGGGCAGACCTTCCGCTGCTTTCTTCCCGCTCGCTTAGAGGTCACCCCAGTAGTGGGAGAGGTGGCACGGCCGAGTCGGTGCTCTGTTGCCCCTGGACACAGGAGCTGGGATCTGGACACACCACCTGCCCCTGCCCGTCAGGCCCCGATGCCCCTTTCATCCGTCTGCGCTTCAGCGCCTCCCCGCTCTCCAGACCCACCCCCTCAACTCCCTCTCCAGGGAGGTCGCTTCTGCAGCTGCAGACCTTGCACAGGCCAGCAGCCACAGAAATAATTTTCCTGCTGCACGAGGCCTTAACTATCTGCAAATGTTCAGCGCGACCGCATCGTCCGCCAGAGCCACCAAAGGAAAACACAGCCAGATTTAATACAATAATAATAAAAAGAAAGATCTCTCCCCTCGGAAGCTCTGGTTTTGACACACGGTCGGCCAGGTGCACATCTTTAGGGCCCATTGAATCACCTTCTGGAAAGCAGGGCTTACAATAAACTCCGTCCCATTCCGTCAGGGGTAGGGAAACGCTGAGTCCCAGAGAGAGGGGGGTTTGGGGTACGGAGGTCAGAGGGAGTGATAAGCCAAACTGTGTGTGCCGAGGGCCTGGGAGGGTTTTTGTGTCAATGGATGGAATCGGAGCCAATGAGTTGATCCTGTCACATGTGTAACCTTGACAATGCCCCATACGCACATGACACTCCCCCACCCCTGCTGTCCTAGCCCGACATGGTTCTCCTGTTCCACAGACATTAAAGAGCAGGTTTCAGCAATTATTTATGGTTGTCTTCTGTCTTTTTGAGAGTCGTCGTGAAAGCATACAGCATTCTCTCTCCTCCACCAGGTAACCCTGTGTCAGTCAGAGTCCTCTCAGCTACAACTCACACTTTAAGAAACTTAATAGAGAAATGAATTACATTACGTAACACGCAGTTCAGAAGTAGGGCATTCCTGGGCTGGTTTATTCAAGAAGTCATCGAGTATCTGGGTTCCCATCTTCCTGCTCTGCCGAACCTCAGTGTCAGCTACTCCCTCAAACTGCCAAGATGGCTGCCACAGCTCCAGCATCAGTCACCTGTTCTTACATTTGTGTCCAAAGGCAGAAGGAAGTTTCTCCGTGTGTGTGTGTGTGTGTGTGTGTGTGTGTGTGTGTGTGTGTGTTTAAGAGCAAGAGCAAGAAATCTAGTTCTTGGCACATTTCATCGGTCAGAATTATCGCATGCCTCTGTCTACACCAACGCCTGGCAAGGGAGATGGAATATTCCTGCGAAGGGTTTAGGTTCCGTAAGATCACCATGGCAACTAGGGAGGGCCCGACCCGGGACACGCACACTCTAAAAGGGTGAACACCAAAACAAAATCAGGTCTGAAGAAGTACAGGAAAGTTAGAAATGGATTTAAAATAGACCACCGACAGCATTGTCTCTGAAGTCCATGTCTGATTTTGTTTCATTGTCTTCCCTTTAAAAGCCAGAATGTTGCGTTACTCATGGGTTTGGAGGTGGGGGGAGGGGCAGTGGTTGGTTGTTTGTTAAGAAAAATGCCATCTTCTCTCTGCTCCTCCCTGGCTTCTTTATCATCTGTTCTGTTTTGCAGCTGGAACGTTCCCACCTTTGTTCCCATACTCTTCGAGTATGTCTGTCCTTCCATTATTTTTCCAGCTCGGTTGCCAGCAGAATGCAGAGCAGTCTGGATAAATGAAACAGAGCTGACAGGCCTCTTAATGAGAGCTTGTTTGCACATAACTGCATTTCTTGTGACGGCTCTGTACCTGAGAGCCTTTAGGTGTGGATTTTTACATACGAGCGTTTGTCCTTCTTGTAATTAAGGCCCCTGGAAACGGATTGGCTTTTTATTTATTTATTTATTTATTTTTAATTTTTTTTTTCAACGTTTATTTATTTTTGGGACAGAGAGAGACAGAGCATGAACGGGGGAGGGGCAGAGAGAGAGGGAGACACAGAATCGGAAACAGGCTCCAGGCTCTGAGCCATCAGCCCAGAGCCTGACGCGGGGCTCGAACTCCCGGACCGCGAGATCGTGACCTCGCTGAAGTCGGACGCTTAACCGACTGCGCCACCCAGGCGCCCCCGGATTGGCTTTTTAAAATCAGGCATTTCTCTTCCTTAACTCCTTTTTCCATGCCTCCTCTGTCCACTTTCCCCTCCCCCTCTGTCGTCTTCACCTCACGTGGCTATTCCAGAAGCCTCTCTAGCTAGGAGGCTCCTACTGGCATTCAGCTCAGTCCCTGCTGGGGCCTCCTCCCAGTTGGCAATCTTACGTGAAATTCACTTTCCCCTATGGGTCCTCTTGTGTCCTCAATCCCAAACACACACCATTGTGACGACGTGGAATTTTGTGACGACGTGGAATTCTAAACGACTGGCATCAGTCGTCCACATGTTGGGGTGAACTTGGGGATGTGTTATTCCCACTGGGGCATTTGTGCCCCTATTCACCATGTGACATAAAAGGTTCAATCTCTTCCTCAAGGAATTTCAAAGACCAGCTACTTGCCCATTGGTGTTTTCGTCCCTGTTTCTTTAAAATTCCAGCACGCCTTTGCCACGCTTTTCTCCTGGTTCCATCACTTTCCTGTAGCCCTTGGGATGGCTTGGTATCCGACTTCTCCTTGAAAAAGCCCTCTCTTTGCTCTGCCCTCTGCTTTCATTCTGGACGCCTCCATTTGGAACAATCTCTCTTAATAATACAGAGGGTACCATCACACAGCTCAGTTAGGATGTCAAAGAGCCAAAAGATTCCCCTTACTTAACTCACTACTTTAATATATTCCTTTTTTCCAGATGTCTTTCTGAACAGAGAAAAATTTGAAATTCCGAGATGCAGTAGAGAGCTCAGTAGTGAATCTAATTAGAAATGAGAAGCAGAAAAATAAGAAGGGCCTGTCTCTCGATATTATGATTGCTCACGAAAACAAAACAAAACAAGTTGATACAGCATGAAGGCAATTTAAGATGATAGATACAGATGTGCTGCCTTACATTTCATATCACCTCTTGAATGGGATTTTTTTTTTTTTATAGGGAAAGTTTGTACAATACCGACAGGTTAGACTTTCTGGAATCTATGTAAACCCAGGAATATATTTTGGATCTTAGCCAAGGCCAGTGATAGCCTATTAAATTTAAAACAATTGGTGAAAGAAAGAAAGAGAAAGAAAGAAAAAGGAAGGAGAAAAGAAAGAGAAGGAAGGAAAGAAAGAAGGAAGGAATGAGAAAGAAGGAAGAAAAGAGAAAGAATGAATGAAGGAAAGAAAGAAAAAAGAAAGAAAAAGAGAGAGCCAGCTGCTATTTTGTAGTTTAACTTAAAGACAGAAGTAACTTCTATTCATTTGCAGACTTTGTGTTATTGGATTCTATGACCATCATGTAACATAACTATATATTTTTTTTTGTTACCTGAAATAAACATGCAGTAATTTTCCTGATACAGATGATTATCTTTATTATTTGCACCATTCTCCCTCTCCACCCTCGCCACAGGCCAGGCATATAGACTGAGCGTTCCTTCTGAACATATTGTAACAACTTATCAGTTGCAATCTGCCACCTAAAATTATTAGATCGTATGGTAGTCATGAAAATTATGGAGAATGTAAAGATTTTATGCATTCCGTCAAAAATGCCAGATCTAAAATCAGTTAGTTTATTTCCTGCAGTCTTTCAAGTTGACCAAAGCACTCACTGATTTGCTCTATTTTCTTACGTTTTTAGTATTTCTGCATATATATATATATATATATATATATATATATGCACTGAAAAGCCCCACTCGGAAAAAAATTCACTGCAATTCTGAGAAAAAGCTTATCCTAAACATCTAAAGATAGCATTTCTAATTATTGTCTACATTGTGTTTAAACTGTGCAAACTCGAGCATTATTCTCACTTTACCAGCTGTGTCTAGGTAGAGTCATTACATCAAACGCTTCTAATTTTACAAAAAGAAATCAAAACAAGTGTGTGTTTAAGTCTCAGTGACAAATGCAAACCCTGTGAGTCAAACAGGCAAACTGATTAGCAAGCTGGCTGGGAAGTCAAAACAGCAAATATAAGGAGATTCACAAAACAGATCAGTAAGATGAGAGGGGTAAAAATAGCTTCCAGGGGCCAAGTGGGGTCCAGTGGGTGGGTCTGGCCGCACGCATCAAGTTCTGTGCCCAAAACCAGATGCCTGCCTGTACCACTCACAATCTTCCTCCGTCCCAGAACTCTACCTGCCCTCCCCCAGGAGCGGGGATCAAAGTTCAGCAAGCCAGCCTCTTCACCGGATGCAGAAACTTTCTTTCAAACCTCAGTGGAAGCAACGTTTCCTCTACTTGAATCTTTCTAGTTGCAGGCACTCACTAGGACACAAGGTCGTTCAATCTGTTGGTACGTAGCTATTTTTCTGACATTAGCCATCATTATTAAGTAGACATTTATTAGATACTTAGGTCCTCCCTTTATACAGCTCTCACAAATGACACTCGATTTAATTCTCACAACAATACAATATAATGATCTTATCTTACAGATGAGAAAACCCAGGCCCAGAGAGGTGAAGTGACTTAACTCAGGTCACACAGCTTCTAAAAGTGTGGCGGAGCGGGGGTTCCAAACAGGCCACTTCACCCTTCTATTATTTCCTTTCATTGTTTCTCGCCTCTGGAGCCCATGGAAGAGCTTATCAATCCAATTCCCACCAATGGACCGAAAGAACATGGAATGGGTCTGCTAGGTTACCTCTTTGGTCTTGGAGGGTTGAGGGTCATGAAGAGAGAAACGAAAACCAGAAGATACTATGATCTGAATGTTTGTGCCCCCCCCCCCTGCCAATTCATACATTGAAATCCTAACCCCCAAAGATGATGGTAACAGAAGGTGACACCTTTTTCCAAAGGTGTCCCAAAGTCATGAGGGGGGGAGCCTTATAAAAGGGGCTCAGAGAGATCCCTAACTCCTTCCTCCATGTGAGGACACAGTGAAAGGCACTGGGTGTGAACCCCAAAGAGGGCTTTCACCTGACCATGCTGGTGCCATGACCTTGGACTTCCAGTCTCCAGAACTGTGAGAAATGAAGTTGTGTTGTTTATAGGCCACCCAGTCTGGACTGTTCTATGACAGCCCAAATGGACTACGACATAAGGTAAGTGATGAGAAGCACCAGCCTCCTTCTAAAAAAGAAATCCAAACCTCCCTTGATGATCCTGAATTTAGCCTATAATCGGGGCAGCGAGTGGAAGATGGGGTGATGGGCATCCATCCGTGGGGTGTTCATTCCTCTCCACTGTGTGTCCTATGTGCTTCCTGCCTCGTTTTCACCACTTTAAACTGTGGGGATAGGCAAACACATCTGTTGGGATCAGGATATTTAAAGAAGCAGTTTGCTAGTCCCCTTTCAACGCTAATCTGCACGGTTCAAGCGAACGCTTCAAACCAGTGAGAACAGTTGGTGGAGCAAAGTCACCAGGCAAAAACCTTTCTCTCCAATTGTCACTTGGGTTCAAGGAAAGATTTGTAAATAACAAGTTAGTCCTAGTAAGCGGTAAAAATAGCCACCGGGGATGGGTTTCTGGCGAAGGTTCCGTTTGACTCACTGCCTCGAGTCTGGGAGGAATGGAAGTCGCAGCTAGAAAGTGGGTCTGCCCAAGGAGCGTAAAAAGTTGTTGGGTGCTTTTATTCCACAAATGAAGGTGGCTACGCATTCTAATCTAGTCTGTGTAGAGATTATAATTTTCAAAAAAGACAGGCTGAACATCCAAGGCTTAGTCAATATCAGCCTGCCCATGGGCTTCATTGTTCCAACCGCCTCTGTGTCAAGAAGTCAAGAGAAGCCTTGTCCTTATCCTGACTGTGGAGAAGGCCAGCAACTTCAGATCCCAAAGCCAACCGCCCTGTAAACTGCTGTCACACTGCTTCACTGGCCCTCTCACCATCTGGGACCTCAGGCTGCCCTCAGAGGCACGTGTGAGGAGACACAGGGCCCAGTGAAGTGGCACTGGCCTTGTGTCACGCTGGCGGCCCCAGCATCGGAACCACCAGGAAGCTTGTTGCAAATAGCTGTCCATCTTTCCCTTTGGATTCCAGCCCAGGATGCCCAGGGTTTTTTGGGTTTTTTTTTTTTTTTTTTGGTTTTTTGCTTTTTGGGTTTTTTTGGTTTTTTCTTTTCTCACTTTCCTGAGTGATCCTGGTGCCCTCCATCTTGGGAGCCACACGGAAGGACAAGATAACCAGAGACCCCACGTCGTGGTCAGCAGATGTAGAGAGAGAAGAGGATAAGGAGAAATCCTGCCTGTTTTGGGGAAATATCTTTGCGGTTTCCAAATAGTAACTGAGCCTAGGAGCAGAGCCTCAAACAAACAAACAAAAGTAACCAAGGCCCCAGTGCAAGACTGAATTGCTGAGTTTTAATATGCAACACGAAGACTGCCAATCGGCCTCTCTGTGGGTGGCAGCGGGCGAGCAACAGCCGAGGACACCGGGCAGGGGCGCCTAACTGCAGGCTGCATGTGCTGGCATGGTGTGTGAGAGGTCGGGGGTCGGCGGTTGGGGTGGGGGGCTAGGTGACCTCAGGAAGGGTCTCAGAGCACCTAGAAGGACTCTAAGGGGTGGGAGGAGTTGAGCCCTTAGGGCATAGCAGGATTGGTTCAGGGCTCCTGGAATGAGGGTAGAAAGGAACCTGGGGTGGGGGTGGGGGGTCCGGGAGGGTAGGTGGGTTATTTCAATACATCCAGGGCTCCTCAGAGCTCGAGATGGGGGTCTCAGAGGGCACGGCCTGCCCTCTGGATGCGGAGGGGTGTCACCGCATACGTGGTTGGAGGCCTCAGGGTGCAGGGGATTTTCGGGAGACCTCAGCCGCGCAGAACTGGGACCCCGGGCGAGAAGGTGTCTCTGGGAGCTGGGGGGAGAAAGTCAAGGCCGGCAGGGGGCAGGTGCCTGGCGCGCGGAGGAGCGGCGGGGCCCGCAGGGGGTCTCCGCGGGCCCCGCCCCGGGCGGGGGGGGGGCGCGCTCAGACGGCCTTGCACTCGCTGTCCCGCCGCCGCTTCCGGCGCTCGGCGTGCTCCTGCGCCTGGCGCGCCCAGGGCAGCGGCCCGCACACGCCCACCACGCAGCAGGCGAGCCGGGGGCCCGCGTTGCCGTTCTCCACGCTGGCCGCGTTGCCGCCCCGGCCCAGGTCGTCCTCGCCCGCGTGGACCACCACGGCGCGGCCCACGATCGAGTGCGGGCCGAAGAGCGAGGCGGCCAGGCCGCCGCGGTACTTCCAGAGGCGGCCGTCGCGCACGGCGAAGTTGCCGAAGTCGCCCGGGTGCTGCGGGTGCGGCACGGCCCGCGGGTTGTAGTGCGCGCCGGTGGAGTCGCAGCCCTGGCTCAGGTCCCCGAACTGGTGCACGTGGATGGCGCGGCTGGTGTTGTTGGGCTCGGCCGGGAAGCCCTCCAGGTCGAAGAAGGCCTCGAGCCGGGCGCCGGGCACCTGCTGCCGGAAGAGCACGAGGCCGCTCACCCGGGGCTGCGCCGCGTCCAGCGTGGCCGACGGCTGCACCCGGCAGGCGGCGTGGAGCGCGGCGTCCGGGCGGTCGCCCGCCGCCTGCCGCTGCGTCATCTCCTGCCAGATCGCCGTCACTTTCTCGTGCATGTCGCGGATCTGCGCCGCGGTGCTGGAGCCGGGCTCCTCCGGGTCCGGGTCGGACCAGGCGCGCGAGGCGCGGGCCGCCAGCAGCAGGTAGGCACACAGCAGCGCCGGCGCCAGCATGGCCGGAGTCGGGCACCTGCGGGCGCCCCCAGGGGTGGAGCAGAGCGAGCCTTAGTCCCTGGCAACGTGAGGACCCCCGACCCCAGGGGCTTCCTCGCCCAGCGCGCATTCCTGCCTTTGGCCCCGTGCCTTTCTGGGCCTGCTTTGCTCCGGGACCTGGGTCAGGTGCTGTGCTTGTAAAGATGGCTTTGACACAGTCTCAAGCAACTCATGGGGATCTTTTTGAGCCGCCAGGGTGATCATGGCCCTCTCAAGTCCTGTCTGCATCACTTGGAGGAAGTCATGGGGCAATGGGGAGAGAGTCTCAGGGCACACAAGGATGGCCCTTCCAGACCTTCCCCTCCCCCATCACCCCCTGCCACCCTCGCTAGGCATCCTCCTGTACAGACCAGTTAAGACTTCCTACCCCTCATTCTCGGCCCTTAGAATAGCCGTGCCCTCTCCGAAGTGTCCTGCCCCCTCTTCTCTGCCGGGCACAGCAGACTTGAAGACAGAAACTCGGTTTTCCTCCTCATCAGCCCCAGCACCTGGGCCCACACCTGGCTGTAAGGAGACATTTAATATGTGATTGTTGAATGAGGACTTCACCGAGGGATAGGCGTGTCATCAAGTCATTCTAACACCATCCTGTGATTGGAGATGGATGAGCTCTGGGCTGGGGAAGGACAGAGAAAGTAGGACCCATCCCGCCAGGGGAA